GGAAAGGGGAGGCGGCGGTGGGGAAGAGACAGAAATCTTTAATTAATTAATAAAGAAAAAAATAAATTAAAAAAAAGAAGTTGACTATGATTGCTTCTTATTATATATCACTTAAACCTAACTTTCTTTTCTGGGAGTCTAAAAAATATAAAGCTTGAATCACAAGCACATTTTTACAATGCTGGGGAGTGAACCCCGTGCCTCTCACTTTCCAAGCAATGGCACTATTGCTGGACTGTATGCACAGTCCAAACAACCACAATTTTCAAATGATATGAATATAATTTAACACTACTATTTACTCTGGCTTCTTTATAAAGGCTAAGATACTCACACAGTCAACCAGTAAGTTGGATGCAATTTCACTCAATGTGACAGTGACAGACTTAGAAGGACCTTAAAGACCAAGAGAGTATATTCTCATTTGGAAGCTATGAAAAGCACCGAGTGACTTTGAATAAGACTACCCATTGGACTAGTGACACAACAAATATCAAATCGGTCATGTTTGCTTTGCTTCCTGGGCCCACTGCTATTTCTCTTCTATTTTTATATCTTAATTTCATTTCACCTCAGAGTAGCAGTTTGCAGCTAGGGCTGCAGATAGAACCACGAGTTGTTTTCCAAATATATAAGTGCTGGCCCTACTGCCAGAAACACATTCCAGAAATTCCCTTCCCTAACTCCAAAATACAGTCAATGCTAAGAATATCTGTGGACTAGAACAATGCTCAGCACTGTGACAATACTAGGTAGGTCCACAACCCAATAATGGGCTTTCAACTCATATTTGCTTCTTCTCGGCATGTTGAGACATCTCATTCACAAATGGGTGAGCAAGGCCTTTAATACTGTGGCTCAAACGCAGCATTTAGTTCAATTACTGAACACATCTTGTGCATTCCAAGTTATCTTTGTGCATCTTAGGCTATATTAAACTTCTTTTTTGGCAACTTCATGCCAAGATTTATTCTTCTTCCTTCCTTTATTCAGACACTTTCACATCATTATCATCTACAATCAGGGTGGGGGTGCTTAAGCTATTTAGAACAGAAGATTAAACGATGCTAGTCAAACTTCCTGTCTGTTTCCAGAAAAACTGTCCAACTGACTTTAAAATAGACAGCAGGTGAGAATGTGTGTTAGTAGCAAAAAGACTAGGCAGGCTCATCATACGCCTGTGACAAAATAATACCTGAGCATCTTACCTCTAGTTTTAGGATTTTTTTTTCCCTTAGGTAAATCTGCATAGGAAATTTGAAACATTCAAAATTCACTTTAATACACTTTAGTCAAATAATGAGATTATGAAGGCGAATTAAACACTCAAACTAGAATTCTGCAGTACCTTCTAGGAAGAGGAACTATCAGCATCCCTTTTCTGGAGGATGTTCACTATCTCAGAACAGTAGGGGTAGGACAAACATGAGAACAGGAAGGAACTATGGAAATGAACTATACTATGAACTATACTAATTCTTCCTCCTTGATTAGGTACCAATACAAACATAAGAATTCATTATAAATGCACTGCCTCTCAAGATAAGCCAATACTTATCTTGCAAACTGCCACACAACAAATGAACTTATGCCAAATTTTTCCCTTTGGAAAGATATCAAGTTAGACATGCTCACAATTTAAAGAATTTCAGGATGAAGAGGACAATGTACAGATAGCAGGCCCCTCCCATTTTGCTAGGTTCTAGAATGTGTTCCAGAAACCCTCACACTATGCACGTCAGAGGAATTTAAGACCTTTGTGGTCGAGTAAGAGACAGAAAGGAGCAATGTAAAAGTCCACAACAAACTGATTTGGTGACAGAAACAAATCACCAAAGAGCATCTCAGTGATATTTTACAAACTTGACATGAGCAGTTGTGGTTACTTTGCAATTAACTTTCTATTCTTCTCTGTCCTCATGGTGAGGATAACAATGCACCTATGAAAATGCTGCTCATGACAACAGAGGTAAGGGAAAAACAGAGAAAATCAGAGTCTGTTGCGGAGTATTCGTGGTCTTCTCCACTTTCTTCCTCCAGCACATGGATCACCAAGCTTATCATCAGGACCACCACGAAGGATAGGAATCCCAGGTTTCAACTACTGGTGTGTGGCGTTGTTTAGAGGACTGGGTAGATTGTCCACATTCTTTCTCCCCTGTTAAATAGAGAGAACAGACTTACTGACCTTGGTTGATACTGATTCATAGGGCTGTGTGTTATCACGTAAGCCTCTCTGAAGGGCAGTATGTATTCTACTAAAGAATCTCTTCCTGCCTGATGATTTGATATGCAGAATTCACACTTTCATATTCCTTTGAGTTTTTGGATGCTAGACTAATTTTAATCAACATTTGATTGTACATTATTTCTCAAATGTATTCTCAGGATGAGAGTCAACAGATCAGCAGTATCACTTAACTCCATCTATTCAAACCCTCCATGACCTAAACATTTTATCCAGTGGTACATTCTCAATTTCTTCTATGACTGGAAGAAGACACTCAGAATCAGCAATAACCTCAGTCTGAAACTTCTGGCAGATTCCACTGGGGGTTGGGATTTTTAATTTCTCTTACTTATTCTCCTCCTGTTGTTGGGACAAGTGAAGAAAACTCTCTGAGCTACTTTCATAGAGCTGAGTAGAGCACATCATGAACAACATGGGGACTGAAGGAAAAGAGCTGTTCTTGGGGAGATGGACATGACTTGCATCCAGGGACCAATATTCACTATCATACTTTTTCCAGTGGTTACATTTTCCCAAATCAGCTATACTCAAGTCAGTATCATTTTTATGTCAGTATTGATTAACCTCAGTAGAAAATGCACTGAAGGGCAATTCACAAAGGGTTTCTCAGTTACCCTTCCTTGGTGGTTTTCATTCATGTAAACATAAACTAGTGTCTGATAGTCTCTTTTAAAAGAGCAAGTATTTTGGAATTTGAAGTGGCCAGAGTTTAAGAAGGATATTATCAGAAACACTGGAACAAAGCGTAATTTTGACAATACCTTTTCTAGACTCGAGGACACTGATTGTTTTCTTCTCCTTAGCAATAAACACTCAAGTTAACATTGGCTTATAGATGAAGAGCACCACTTCATCTGTATTGTTCAGGCAAGCTGCCATCTCTTATATCCATGTTGTCAGTTTCAGGGTGCTTGGCAACAACTTCAAGACCTGCTTTCTCTGTCTGCCACCTTTTTCCATGCAGTCCTAATGTTTCTTAGGCTCACCTCACCACCCATTCCTTGAAATGAATAGTCTAAAATTTTATCTACATACGAAGGTAAATTTGAATTCAGGGATGTTCATCAACAGTTTATGCAAATGGAAAGAGGACTGTTCAACCTCTATTTTAGAAGAATAAATAAATTTCTATTTTCTCTGTTTCAGGATTTCATGTTATTTGTAATTTTTTTCAGAGATTCCAGTCTGTCCCTCATTGCACTTGCTCTGAGCGTACCCATTTTTCTTTACTTCATAAGCCTGAGATTCAAAAACAACAAATATTGCCATACAGAGGTTTTGCTTTTATCATTATCAAACATTTTAAAACATCCATTTAGTTTGCTCTCAACATCATCTTTCTTGCCCTACTTAATCTTCATGCTTTTCCATCATCCATTTTTTTGGGGGTTTTGCTTGGAAGTCACTCTCATCCTGATTTATACAAATTTACAGAGATACAAGAGTGAAACTGTGGTAACATAGGCTAATAGCCATTTCTTGGAAGAATACTGCAGAAATAATATATATGTCAATAGTTTATGAAAAAATATAAAATTCATGCAGCTGGTAGGTAGGTGGTTATTCACTGCACTATTACATTTCCTTGTACATTTGAAAATGCATTGGTGAAATAATTTT